GTAACAACAAGAATATCAAAATCTTACTGGAAATTTTTTAAGCCAAATTTAAAACGAAATTGTATTGTGCCGTGCCAATATAGTTTATGTAAGTTAAAACTAAAATGGCATCTCAGTAAGGATAAGGCGCTTAGAAGAATTTATCTTGTAGCCTGATCCTGTACATGCTTACTTGGAATTAAATCTGTTTTGATCAGGAGAGATTAGTTCTAACTAATCACATGTAGGATTGCAGCCTAAGATTTGAAAGGTAGCCCAGCAGGAGTTGGTCTAAAAGCATTTAGCTACATGGTCTTAAGGATATACAAAGCAAAAACTGCATATGGAAAATGTAATTAGCAAGCAATTAATTAAAAAACCTGTTTAAGGCCCGGAAGTACGGCACATTTCCCATTATTGGTAGGAATAAAGGAAAAGACCATGTTTGAACACTAGCAGCCTGCAAAAATATATGTTAAGCAAGCTTGATTTTTTTGGTGAGGCTATCTCTTGGATCTTTGTTTTAGAGTGCCTCCCCTCAAGCTGGCCTTGCCTTGAAGCACACAAGAAAAGAAGTCGGGGGACTATGGAAAAGTAATTCTTCCTATATTTGTGCTTTAAGTTAGTACTTTTAACATATAGAATTCCCTCCCTCTCAGAAGCTTTTGAGAACTGCGGTTTTGTAGCAAACAATACAACTCAAATGGATTTTGCAGTTGCAAAACTGATTCCATGCCTTAGATGGAGCTATGGAAGGTATGGCTATTACTAGAGTTGTGCTTGAAATGGATTGCTGGGGACTGCCATTTTCACAACTATCTTCTGTACCAGTTTATTGTGAAAACTCCATCTGCTTAACATAACCTGAACCTGTAGAGGCTAGGTAACTTTTAGTTTCCACAGATTGTTGAACAATTGCAAATCCCCCCCAAATCCTTGGTTGTAGGAATCCTTGCCTTCATAGGACTATGACCTCTAACTCTGCATTGAAGTTACAACATTCCTGAAGCAGTGGAATATAAATTGTTGAGCTTGCTGTACATTTGTATTGGTGGTCCTTCCTTCACCCACCTCCATTGTCAGAACACTTTTTAAATTACGTTATTTATCCTGTCCTTCCTTCAAGAAGTTCAGTATATCTTGGGTGGTGTTCACCCATCCCCAGTTTTATCTGTACAAGAGTGCTGTGAAGTAGGTCAAGAGGGGAGATGGTGGACTGGCTGAAGTCACTGGTGAGCTTCATGGCTGAACAAGAATTTGAACCTGGGTTGCCTAATCTGACACAAACTACTATACCTCACAGGCTAGAAGCCATAACTGAAATCATTGTTGCTCCAGCAAAGCAAACTTCCTTTCGATATGTTTTAAGTCAATGAGGTGGAGAGCCTAACAGCCTGCTCATGCAGCCCATCCTACAGAGGCCCTTTCTGCCCCACCAACATCTGAATTGCACTTCGTTAAATCAGGGAAAAGTGCCTTCTCTGTGACTAGGCTTATGTGGAATTCCCTGTGAAGGGAGGTCCATCTTTGTCTGCTTTCAACGCAAATACACTTTGGCAGGCATTTTGACATCTGCGCTTCTACTTGGGATCTCCCTGTCACATTAGAATTGGAATATCATGTACTGCCCCTTTTCTAGTCCTACTGATTCCCTTGTCTTTTTTGGGGGGGGGCGGCGGGGGGACGGGTTTCTTACTGTTTTTAAAAGTTGCTTATATGTAAGCTGCATGCAGCATTTCTTTTAATGGAAAGTTAGGATAATGCTTTGCCTTTGCTCTTTGTCAGAGTCCTGGAAAAATATTTTTAAAAATTCAAGTCCTTTTCTTTTTTAAAAAAAACTCAATTATAATTAGAAATTATAAACAATGTCAGCTTGGTCTTTTTATGTATATACATTTATTGGCATACTTAATCCTAGCCATGCCAACTAGGTTTTGTTGGACAGCTTTGTGAGAATTTCACCATATGATGGGAACTTCCACTGCGCCCGTCTGCTAACAACACACGAGAGTATAAAGGTGAGAGGGGATATGTAACTTCTTTCAGGAATGACACTGCGTTGGGCAGATAGTTTCCACATGGATGACTATGCATGGACAGTATGGCTTGGATGAAAAACAGGAGGAGCAATTTATTGTGTGAAGACTAAAATGTGATGGGAGGTTACATGTCGCTACATATTACGTAATGGTATCCAACTTGTCCTAACTGTACTATGTGTTCTAGCTAAAATAATTCTTTTGTATAGCAGAAAGGACCATGGTAGGTCTTTATTCTCTACCTTCCATCTGTGAGTACTGGTTAGGAAGACAAAACCTAACAGTTACTAGGTTCTATTTTCAAAATGAGACATTTGTGCTTTTTTGTCTCATTAGCGCAGCTTGAATCCTGCAGTCTGTCTGGCACCTAGTGAGTTCAATCTCATTATGTCTGCATAACTCCTTCTGCACTCCTTGAGATCATTATACACTGCAGACTTTGGGCATCCTATTATTCCTGTCTGGTCTTTGCCTCCTGCATCTGTTTTGCCCTCTATCCAGGGTGGTGAAGTTCTACAGAACTCAAAAGCTTATCATTTTTGACATTTTTGCTGATCCTAATAAAAGTATTACCATATTTTGGCTTCTGATGTTTTTCTAATGTTTTAATGCTTTTCTAATGGCCCCAATATAGCTACCTACAACTATACAGTTTTAACACTGGTCTTACTTAGAAACCCTGGCTACTGTAGTTCTATGAGCATTGTTGCCTCATCTTTCTACAGCTTAGATAATCGTGTGGGGTTAAGAACAGTGAAATTCTTACAACTACGTCATATGCCAATTTACATAGTTCTTGGGGTGAGGAGAGAAGGTCTCAGGAGCAAAGTACACATGCTGGTTTAGGCCTGTCATCTAATTTACTCATTTATATAGGAGGCAGGAAATGTCTGCCATAGCAAATGAAGGTTTTGTTATACTTAATATATGTTGAGCCTATAAAATAGAGATTCAGAATTCTGATCCCAATGTATTTTACCTTTAGTAATATGCAGCACTTCGAGATGTCCCACTGACATCAATATGAAATATTTACTGAAGGTGGTGGGTTAAGATATTCAACTTGGACTGTTTCTATAAGAGCCCCTGTCAACTTTCATTGCTGCAAAAACATGTTTGCAGAAGAAATGGGAGCGCTGTTCTTTTACATTCAGGGAAGGTGTTTAAAAGTCCTGCAGGCGAGGAGCTGCCAATGTCATTTAGTTACAGAGAATAGAATTGCAGAAGAAAATCCAGGACATCTCAATTAGCCTTCTGTTCTGATTTTGAATGTAAAGCAGCAGATTAATTCTAAACAGATGGTCCAATGCTTGGTTGTTTTAGGTGGCAATTTTTTTCTTCATCCCTGAGACTAAACTCCCAGTACAAAATATAGAAATCATGTACTTTAAAATACTTCAAAGGTAAAGATTGCCACCTGATGCAAAGGACAAAGAATCAATGCATGGTTCTTGAATACTTCAGGGCAACAGTGCTGTGTCCTCCACTGGACAGTATTTCGTATGGGAGACCCCTGATTGGAAAACCCGATTAGCCTTTGCATCAGTTCTAATGAGCCATAGCAATGAATCATATTGCAAGGCTATCAAGCCCTTTTAGTCCAAGGGTGGGCACCTTATATGCCAAAACATACAGAGGGCCACAACTCCTATCATCCCTATCTAACAGGCAATTGTGAGGGGTGATGGAAATGTTAGGCCAAAATACCTGAAGGGCCACATGCTGCCTGCCCCATACATATTCTGCAATATTGGGATAAAGGAACATACTGGGATTAGCAGCCTCGTTGCAGGGGAGGTTAGCTATTAAACAACTGGTGCACTTCGTGAATTGTGACTGGGCTTAGCACTTCTGTCGTGATTGCTTTCCAGTTTGAACCTAAATGTTTTATGATTAAGCAATGAGATGTGTACTTCATCACAGCATGCCAAGGGATTAAAACAATGCAGCTCTGCTCCCATAACTCATGTCCTGTTACTCCTTTTAATTTTTACTGAAAGGAAGTTCATGCTATATGTTCCTGTGCCTGTTATGTATACATCTGAGGTGTGCATACAAATATCAGTGTGTGCCTTTCATATTTCATGAACTGAACTATTCCTGTCTCTTTCCTTTGTAACCATCTACAGAGGTGTGAACTGGGAATGACACTTTCTGTATCGGATGAAATGTGGGCTCTTTTTAGGAAAGGTTGTGCTACAGTAAATCAATCTATTAGACTTCAAAATCCGTGTGTGTGGAGGGGCACTTTGGAAATATTTTGCCACTGGAAAAACTGTCCTGGTTTCCACAAAATGGTTGCCATGGGAGACGTGTCAAAGTATACAAGTAACTTTATGCCTAAAAGTGCAAGGCAGGGGCACAGCCTGAGCCCCAACACGTTAAACAATTCGCTGGAACTCCCACTTACCAACACCAACGGAACCTATTTCACAGCAATCCCAGCAATAAAAATATTTTTAAGTTGTGGGGTAGGGCACCTTGGTGGGCGCTGGAAAAGTGTCTGCTGGTTGCATTAGTGTCCACGGGAAACACTTTTCTGCTTCCTGTTTTCCACACCACCGTGATCGCCGGTTTCTCAAATTGGGCTTAAGCAATTATTTAGACGTTCTGGACAAGCATAAATCGAATAACACGGGGCGGGGCAGCACAGATCCCCCCCCCCCGCCCCGTAGAGTGTCTTTCGCAGCATTCTGAATGCTTCTGCCGCGGCAGTCCAGAAGTAAAAAGCTACAGTCAAATAGCGGATATCAAATAAAATCCGGGTGTGAAGTCTGCGTAAAATGCTTGCATTTTTTCATCGCTTAGTTCAGAGCCTTCTCTCTGTACTTCTCCCTTTCTTCTGTTATTGATTTCCTATCTACTCGTATTGTATTATCTCTATGACACAGGAAGTGGCGATCATAGATGCAGCCGCCAAAGGAAAAGGGTGCGGGCGGAAGTGGGGGCAATCTGGAGGCGGAAGTCACAGGCCTTGTGTTCCGGTTCCGGTTCCGTTTTGCAAGGAATCCTCCCGGCGCTGCCGCCGCTGCCGCATCTGCCCCGCGCGTCGAGAAGGGCCCGGACCCTTCGGGAGGGCCATAGAGAGGGGACTGGATAGAGCGGCTTTCTCTGTGTCTGGATTTCTCTGCATTGCCTGGGAGACGGGAAAGCCCGGGGCGAAGTCCTCTCCAAGACTGGACCAGGCCGAGGTTTTCCAAAGGGGCGAAGCCTGAATCGCCTTCTCCCTGAAGCCTGAACCCTTCTCCCTCCCTCTCATCCGCTCGACTCGGAATTTACCGTTACTCCTGAAGCGTGCCCTGACATCTGACCCTCGGTCTCGACCCTGGACTGGTCCCTGACCTTCCTGTATGTGTGACCTTTGAACTCAGCTCGATTCCTATCTTCTTTAGATCAGAAGAGGCGCCTCCTTATCATTCTCATCGTTCTTTTACATTTTTGTTGTTCCTCTAAGGCTGTTGGTCAAACAATCCTCTGTTCCTTATTTCACTCCTGAGCACTCTGCTGTTTTAGACCCTTATCCCTGCCCCGTTAACCGCCTGAGAGGTCACTTTAAAACAGTGGGCTTCCTTACCTACCCAGTTTGCCAAGATTCCCCCATTTTTAAAACTAGATCGTTGGCTATGCCCCCTGGCTGGGGGAAGTGGGGAGGCTGAAACACCAGCCCTGGACCCAGGGGGCTCTGATCGTGGTATTGTTCCTGATCTATCAGCTTGCCTAATGCCTTAACCCACCTGGAGCCTAGAAGAGAAGAATCCATCAAAAATTGCCTGGGGAATCTGGGAAAGAAGAAATAGTGAAATCATTTTTCTGCCCAGGTGAGTGATTGCTTTCAGCAGCTTAACGTTTATGGGAAAGGGTGGAACCCTGAGGAAAGATAATATTTAGAACCATTGAGCACTACAGCCCAGATTGTGTGTGGTGCGTGTGTGTGGTTTTGGCTTGGCTTGGCTTGTTTGTTTGTTTTAAACTTTGCTAATGTTCTTTTATTTCAGAGAGGGAATGCTCTGTGGCTTCTCTGGGGTGATGCTGACACCTGGCATGTGGAACACATATTGTGCCAAATTACTAGGAGAAAGAGGATTCAGTAATTTTGGGTTAAAACACGGTTTAACATTATGTCTCATTTTCAATCAAGAATGAACATGCTTAAAGATTGAGAGACGTGGTAGAAATATATAAAATTATTATTATGGTGTTGGCGAGGGGATAGTGAGATATTATTCTATCTCAGAAATACTTCAGAAACAATTAGATAAAATGGAGAGGTAGTAGTAGTTTGATAGCAACAAAGTACTTTTTAAGTTTTGAATTCATTATTGTAAGATTTGTGGAAAACAGGAACTGCTGTTGGTGGCTTTAAAAATAGATTAGATAAATGGATGGAAGAAAAACCTAATGGTGGTTGTTAGCCAGTAATCTGGCTGGCTTTAAAAGGGAATTGTTCAGATTCATGAGGGAGGAGGCTATCAGTGGCTACTCGACTTGCTGGCTATATGCTACCTGTTTTTCTGGAGGTGGCATGCCTGCATACACCAGCTGTTGAGGAGCTTAGGCAGGCAGGGGTCTTGCACCCATCCTGCTTGAGGGATCCTGAGGGCAACTGGTTTGCCACCACGTGTATAGAGTGCTTGACTAGATGGACCTTGCATCTGATCCAGCAAGGCTTTTCTTATAGTCTTCTTCTGTTCTTATTCCTTCATAAGGAAGGTGTTTGGGTGTGTATTTCTCATCCCTCACCTTTGGGTGCATTGGCTATGGCTGGTGCAGTTTGTTGACCAGGACATCTGGACAGATGTTCTGTTGCTCACCTTTAACTTATATGAACACCTGGGCCCTTTTGACTCATGGATCTGCACACTGGAAACAAGGTGAAGAAGGGAGTGAACCAGATGCTTTGAGACTGACCTAGTGGAACAGAAGTGTTTCAAGGTGCAATCCTATGCAAATTTAGAGAGAGGAAAGGCCTACAACTCCCAGCATGCCCTAGCCTACCCTAGCCTGAGGCATGCTGGGAGTTGTAGACCTTTCTTCTCTCTAAGCTTGCCTAGGATTGCCCTCTTAATGGGTGTTGGAGTGAAAACATATCGTTAGGAAAATGAAAGATGCAGAAAAGCTGCTACAAGAACATTCCAGTTGTCCTTTATGGACACTGCCTTTGAGTCACCACTTGTCCCTCCAGGGAAAAAAGGGCATTTCTCCCCTACATGGTAACTAGAAATTTGTACTACTTCTTTAAGGTGAGTGTCTGGAAATGCAATTCTGCTTCCAGGTTTTGCATTGTACAGTTTACTCTCTGCTGACCTGCAATTATGCTCTGGTTTTGCTGCACCTTCACTAGGTTTTGGTTTATTATATTTTAAAAAAAAAATCTTTTTAGAGGAGTCATGTAAAATATTTCACTTTCCAGAATTAACCTCTTCCAAATTAAATTTGAATGAAACTATGTTTAAGCATACATTTACACTATCTTAAAAGTGAATGAATGAGTGGCCCACTCACTATCAAGCACATGGATGAGTTCACACAACTCAGCAACCCTTCCTGCAAAGAAGCTGCATGGTGTGGGTTGTCTGTGGAACGAGATGTGGTACGGCTGTATTCAGAATGGTTTGAAGAAGCATCTGAATAAACCCATTGAGTTCAAGGCTGCTTTTCTTGTAGATAAAGGAGCTGGATTGAGACCAAGCAGTGTAGATATGCAGTGAGTAATATACAAGTTTATTATAGGGTTGATACTGGAGGCCAGAGAACTTCAGATCATGTGTCCTCTTTCTCCAGGAGATGGTCCTCCTGTCAACAGGGAAAGATATTTACTGTGCCTGCCAGTTTGATCCTGTGTACTATATGTTTATGCCGTTTTAACTGCCCTTTTGCTGTTTTACTCTGTTCGCTATTTATGAATATTTGCTCTCTCTAAATTGGGGCTCTCATGCCACTTTCAGCCTAAGTGCCTGACTCCATTTTGAACAAGCCCTCAGCAACACATTCAAGTGTTGCGCAAGACAGAAGGGGTGATGCCAGAGATACTGGAGGACCAAAAATGCCAGCATAAGTTAGCTTAAAGTTATTTAACTAAAACTTAGAAGAGGCACCTCAGTGCTTTAGAATTGGGATGAAACTGATGCAAAAGCTGGGCAACAGCCAAACAATGAGGGGAAAGGGGCTAGAGAAAGGGGGCATGACAGTCTCTCATCTGGGCAGTCCCGGAGGGTCATATTTGGCCCACAAATTTTAACCCCTGTTTAAACCAAGTCAGATTTGCCCCATGGGCCTGAGGTTCAACCATCCCATCACCTGCTCTAAACAAGTGAGGAACAAATGCACTTAATGACAAGAAATGACCCTTCTTTGCAGTTAACCACCAGCGCTTGGTTCTGGTAAATTTGGGTTTCTAGGTGCAGAGGCTGCAGTGTTTTCCAGCATTCTTTGATTGTTGGTTACAATCTATGTGTTTTTGGATAGGAGTAGAATTAGAGCAAAGGAGGGAAATTGGGCAATATAAGAAAAGGAGAAGTGAAATGAACAGTGAGATAGTATTTGGTAATGTGGTTAGGGTATTATTAGAGCAGCCTTTCCCCAACCTGGTGCTCATCTGATGTTTGCAACTTCAACTTGCATTCATCCCAGCCAGCATAGCCAGTGGTCAGGGATGCTGGAAGCTGTAGTCCAAAACATTCAGAGGGCTCCAGGCTGGGGGAAGCTGCTGAAGAGGAAGGGACTAGGAGTCCAGTAGGTGGACTTGGAGGGAGGAGAGCTAAATTAGTGACTGGTAACAAAGGCTAATTCACCAAAACCATTCTTCTATTGCTCCATGATGTTTAGAAGTGTATTAGGTGCATATGTTTATACATATGTGTGCATGCACACCCCTCAGGATTCCGCATAGGCACTGCAATGTGTATCCAGTGATAGATTCTGCACAAATTGCCGTATGAATCTGCCTTAAATGGAATTGGAGCATGGATCCATCTAGCCCAGTATTGTCTGGTCTAACTGGCTGAGGGTCTCCAGGGTTTCAGACAGGCCCTGGTGTTTGCAAGGGCGTGATCAGAGCTGGAAGTGCTGCATTCAGTTGATTTGTTAATTTGAACATTCTGAGGATGAGTTGGATGGCAATCCTTCCTGTTGGTAGTAACAGGATCATTTTAGTGATATGGCATTGCTGTTTATTTTGACTTGAACAATGAATGCAGACTTATTTCTCTCCAAAATCAATCTAGTTGTTTTCCTCATTTAGTCAATGAAAGTGGCTTAGCTATTTCCATTAATTTCTAGCATCACTTGGCTCCAAATAATTATGATTTTTTTCAGCATTTAATAGTTTTAATCAATATAAGACACGGGGGGAGTGAATATTTTGTTTTGTTCAGGTAATTGTTTCATCCTCCTGCCACTTCTTTGATTTTTCAAGTTCAGGATGCAAGAGAGTAGGGAATGACAAGGAGGAAAAGTAAAACCAATTTTAATTGGTGAAATACTGTCCTGGAGACTTACAGACCCTTGCCCTTTTTAGAAATACCTTTTGTTGTCCTTGGAAGTGAGTTGACAGGGAATGCATTCATCTTTGAGATAACCTGACAGATCATTCAAACACATTTGGGTTCCAACCCAGTGCAAAGTAGATGGTTTGCACCTCTGGAAAGCTTTGTTTATTTAAGACAACCTTCTCCAACTGAGTGATTTCCAGACTACTTAACCCATTGCCACCAGTCAGCAACCGCTGCCACCCAATCTGCCCATCTGCATTCAGGACAAGGCCAAGGGAAGTTCTTAAACCACAAAGTACAATCCAGACACATCAGAACACCAGTAAAGATGGTGCTGAGTGGAGACCTAGAGCTCAGTAATGACATAGGGCTGTTCTTCACAGCAGATCCATCTCACAAGGCCAGCCTTCTACTGGATATTTGAAATTGCTGACTTCGCGAACCCGGTCCACGTCACAGGTGGAGTGTTCTTTAGCTGGGCAGAGACCTTTACAGGATTACATACTTCTTATTTGTAGCTCTGAACTGCTACATCAATGATTTTGTGGAGGAGCAGGAGGAAAAAGAGCACCTTCACTTTCTGAGATACTTGGAGCATCTTATGATTTGCAAATCAGCCTGTTTGACAAGAGTGTAATGCCGGGGTCCCTGTTCGAGCTGAACCTGCCTCAAGCCACCTTTCCCAAACTGCTTCTCTCCATATGTGTGGCGCAGTGGTTTAAACTGCTGTACTGCTGGGCTGGTTGATTGAAAGGTTGCCAGTTCGAATCTGCACAATGGGGTGAGTTCCCATTGCTCCATACCAGCTCCTGCCAACCTTGCAGTTCAAAAGCCTGCAAATGCAAGTAGATGACAAGGTACCACTTTGGTGGGCAGGTAACAGCGTTCCATGCACTTCGGTGTTTAGCCATGCCAGCCACATGACCACGGAGACTATCTGCGTACAAACACTGTCTCCCTCGGCCAGGAAACAGAGATGAGCACCGCCCCCTAGAGTCAGGCATGACTGGACTTAACATCAAGGGGAAACCTCTACCTTTACCTTTTACTAGCATGGAGTTCTAGTCCAGAATATTTAAAGGGCACCAGGTTGGAGAAGGACGGTTTAAAGTTGCAAAGCCTCTGCAAACTAAATGCTTTTGTAGCTTCACCATGTATTGCGTTCCTGGATAACTGAAGTGATCCCTGATCCTAGATAGAATGATGTATTACAAGACCAGTATGTCCTTGCTTTCCATTGCTTGCTGTTCTACTCCAGTAACTGCTCCTTTGGGGTTTTAAAGCATTTATATCCCACTATTCCACTAAAACCAGCAAACAATAGGCCC